CTATCATAAGGATACTGTTTGTATCTTTATCCTTAAGGAATACTGTTTGTATGATCTCTTCATTTGTCCATTGTTTCATAACAAACCATATTGACTACAAAATTATAACCTGTTGGATTATCATTTTTTAATCATTCCTGACAATTTATCATTTAATCTGTATATATGCATGACATACAAATCTGTGTGGAAGAACAGTTGCCAGATTTACAATGAAAATTTTCCTGAGAGATACAAGTACATTTTATCACTTCATGTGCAATAGTTGTAGATTTTAGAAATACTAGTGTTACGTTCTCCAGTATTGAGAATAATGTTGGAATATATTGTTGTCAATTTTTCAAACTCAATAAAGTCATTTTTAACATGCATCTTTGCAGTGTATTGTTGCAATTCATGAAAATGATCATAGTACAGCACAATAAAGAAGCCTAGTCTCCTGTGCAGGCTGCTTCCGCGCACACCCTCTCACAGCGTAACCTCTGGCTGTATGACGTTCTCTGGTAAAACAATGTTCACCACAGTATCGAAACTCCCTCCTGTACAGAAGCCAGTTTTGTTCCATCCGTATTCAGACTTTATTTCCAAGCAGATGTAAGGATCAGCTCGTTTTCAGGTGTTTTTCATTTTGTACGATTTACAGTATGGTCGGAAACCTTTTTTTGGAAATAGACGAAAATTCATCCATAGAATCAAATCAACATGGATTACACATAACAAAAATAAATAGATTATTACAAAATGCAATCCAGTAGCAATGAAGTACAAATGATAAATAATTATAATTTCCCACCCAATGACGAAAACAATAAAATGATAGGACATGGACCAGGTACAAAATAGAGGAGGAAATAGAGTTTTAAAGAAATTAAAGAAGCGTTTTGTTGCGGTAATGACTTGTTGGGAAAGGAACATATTGAATTGGCAACGGCTGAACATAAGAGAGTGCCACGGACCACTGAAAAGGAAAAGTTTGGTGTTGTTCAACAGAGCTGTAAAGTTAATTGAATGTGTGTCCTAAGAACCCGGAGGGTTTGCCAAAGATAATTGCACGTTGGGCATTGTACTTAGGGCAGTAGAGTAAATAATGCGACACTGTTTCGCTGGATGTTTGAATAATCCTCGAGTGAAAAGACTGGTTTTGGCTGCGAGGCAGTTCCTATGCGAAGTATTTGAACTTAACAGGCCGTATGGCTTTCAAGAGTGGTTCGAAAATGACAGAAGTTGGAAGAGCGTGTCGACAAATGAAGATTTTACCAGTGGTGTGTCGAGTATGGAACAAAAGACATAGCAAAACGATTTGTTGAGTACGTAGGAGATGTTAGGTTCATTACGTAAGTCGTAGGTAACTCTTAGTAACTTACATGATGAGAAGGTGGCTGCGGTAATAATTCAGACAGCTGATTGCTAGTCAAACCGTGGACAATTCTGTGCGATAGACAAAGGACATGAACATGTCTTGCATCAGATAATGTTTCGTTCCTAAAATCTTGCCGAGTTGACAGGTAAAATGAGCCCTTTGTGGCACCAGACACGACACTGGCACAGTTGTACATGTATACGTTCGATACGTTGTGCTTCCTCGCTTGTCCTGCCGTGCCAAACGACGCTCCTGTTGTCTTCTCTGTCCCCTTGGATCTTGGACCCCTAGCCTCCCAGTCTATGAATCTATCACACAGTTGTTTCTGGCAGTCGCTGCCGATTTCTTCTCTTCCTTTTGTGCCTGTTGTTTTGGGGACCGGGTGTATCTTACAGGCTTACAGTGTCAATGTTGTCTGACTCTTTCCTTTGTTCTTCCATCCATGGTTATTCCAACCTTTTCCCAAACGTCCTTCCCGTCTCTCCGATGTAAACCTCTTCGCAAGAGAATTCGATGGATTAAAGAAGCGGTCTGGATAAGCAAGGACAGCTGCCTAAACTACTTTCGGATGTTTCCCATTGAGTATGCAAATATGTTAATTTAGTGCCCAAC